CAAGCCGAGTCGAGGCGTTTCGTTTAATCTATTTTTAGAAATGTGTGCAGAGTCGGCGTGTTCTCCCAGGGCTGCCTGAGCGCCCACATCAATGCAGGGGCGTTCGCAGACACAGAGAGAGCGGTAGTGAACGAGGAGAGGATGAGTGGGATGACACTCCACACTGCAGTCCTAGAGTAGCTCGTCTCTCCACGCAGGGAGTCATGCAGCAGAGCAGTTGTTCAAACTCTGACAGCATCGTGTAAATTAAGAATAACTGAATGAAACAGAGTGAGCCATCATTTCCTCTTCCTGTGTCGAGCTGTCAGGGCTGCGTGGTATCAGCTGTAATAAGTGATCAACAACACCCGTTTCCACAAACAAGTGTCCCCATGAGGAGATCCAGTTTATTTTGGGCTTCAAAAGTGGATAATTATCATGTAATGGTTTTTTTTTTGGTCCTAATTACTCAGTTTGAGCACTGCCTGCTCTGGCATGTGAGGGTGTACCCTTGTGTTCTTGTACAGTATGCAGCAGGAGTTTCTGTGAGTATGTGTGTGTCAGTGTTTGTGTGGAGGCAGCTGAAAACCACCATTAAACTGTTCCCCTGCCTCTGCTGTGGTTTCTTAAGCGACACACCGAGTGTTCCAGTGAAAATTACAAGCTAATCACACACACTAGAAGCTTTTTCAGAGAGCAGAAAAGGACATCTGCGTGTAATAACTCCTTCTTCAGATAACTGAGTTACTGAACAGGAGTTAAAACATTATGGTTGGGTATCGGGAAGCAGGTATGAGTTGGAACTAAACTACAGTATCAAAGAACTGTGAATTTGTTTGCAAGACATGCATTTAGATTGTCCTCATTTGATATCTGACAATTACTTTTCTGGGGTAAAATCCATAATTCAACCAATATGCACTGCCTAGTCTTTACAATATAAAAGACAACTCAAGTAAAACAAGTGTAAACCAACAAACATTTAAGTGGCTTATGGTTAGATACAGAATATTTATGCATCTACACAATGCACCCTGTGTAATCAATATCTATTTATTGATGCAAGCTTTCCATTAGGGACCACCTTCAAACATCCATCTTAGCTTCAGCACCTCCAACAAGCCTCTTCATGGTGCTGGTGATCTTTATTTATTGGACTTAACCAAGAAGGAAACACAATATATCTCAGGATTTATGACAAATGAATAACACCCTAAAACCTTGTGGATCCTCAGAGCCATGGTTAAACCGGGAGGCTACAGCAGGTTGACGTACCCGTTTGTATGTTTCACTCAAGAAGGAGCCTTACATACCTCCACAGCTATGTTCACTATGTTAGATTATGCTGCAGGGGGAAAAAAAACACAATTACAACATCATTCATCTTAACCTTCAAAATTAAATCCACTTTAATGTCTGCCATTATATAAATAAAGGTCTTATGGTGACATGACTTATTAAGTGATCTTTAACGTATTAAACTCTCATGCAAAAACAATTACAACAGAATTAATTGCTTGTTTTTTCAGGCCACTTTTTAAACTTTCCTTCAAGGAGAATAGAGGCGATGTTATCCATTAAGTCTGGATATTATCAGTGATGCTAATGAAGTAAGTTAATTTATCAACAGTCCAGTGCTTCTCCATCGTACATGACATTCTTCACTTTCTCCATCAAGTTCAATTTCTCAAACCCAACTCTAAGTCTTCTCCTTATTTGCCCCCGTCACGTGCAGTTCCACATCCTCTGTTCATGTGCTAATGCCATTAGCTGCTGTTCATCTTAATACTCTGATTAATAATTACATTGTTTCAGCGAGTACAGTTCAAAGTGAATTCTGGCAGAAAAGGCTCTGCCACCTCAGAGAGTTCAAGCAGTTTAAAGTCCGGCCCCTTTTAATTCAGCTCTGTCGCGCCCAGACATTTCCCCCTCAACAAAACCCAATTAAATGCACAATTACAAGTTGGCCAGTTTTACAAATCTGCCTTCAGTCCTCATCAATTATGAAGTGCGAGGTAAAGCCTTGGGTTGAGTGATTATCCCCGACAAACACACACACACACACACACACACACACACACACACACACACACACACACACACACACACACACACACACACACACACACACACACACACACACACACACACACACACACACACACACACACACACACACACACACACACACACACACACACACACACACACACACACACACACACACACACACACACACACACACACACACACACACACACACACACACACACACACACACACACACACACCCTTATCTGTGGCTCTGTGGTCTTAGCTCTGGTCACAGTTAGAGACACGTGCCGGCTGAGGAAATGCACAGCCACACACACAAAACCAAATGCACAATCCTTCTTATCTGCTAATTAATAAGCTAGCAGGGCTTGAGAATTTTTTTCACTTTACTGTATGCCAAAACAATGGCACTCAGTGTTCCCTCTGACATCTTGTAGAACAAAATGGACAGAAATCTGGACTTTTAGCAAACCACCACCACCTCTCATCATTATATAGTAACAGGCTACAGGAGGCAGATCAATGACTTTGCCTTATGAGGAAAATGGCTGAAATGATCTCTTACCAGCACTCCCTACCTACCAACGTAGTTTCAACCATCCAGTGTTTGCAGCTGTAAAACTGGGCTGAAAAGATGAATTACTGTGCATTTGTAGAGAGTGGGAAAAATGGCTTCCCTGCAAAAGAATGGCTTCAGAAGTCTGCTCAGAAGAAGAGTTTTGTTTTTTTTGTAATCATAATGGCCGTAACCAAGCATACACAAAGTACTCCTCTTGTTGAAACGTTGGAACAAATGTGCAATGATTTTATATCTCTATGTTGTTATACTTTTTGTAGTTTTTATGCTGATATGGACCTATATGTCAGAAATAAAGTAAAATTGAATACTGGATGTGTCAGAGCTCCACCTGTCACACGACCCTACCCATAAACATACTCTATCCATTGTCATCCATGGAATAATTTGGCAGAGCTTTTATGTAAGACTTATTACAGTCCTACAGACCTTGTAACCAACCGGAACTTTTGATTTACAGTGAGAATCCTAACTACATTTTTCATTCTCTTTGCATTTTGCTAGGTAATTTGCATTTCCTCAGATAATTTACTGAAGCCGTGAGGCTCAACACAAGTAATGGAATATGCTAAAGCATCCAAAAAGCAATAAGCGTCGTCAGAGCAATTCCCCATTCAGTCTGCATAGACCTCAGCTGCTCTGAGCCCCGCTGATATGTGGGGAGACGGCATCAATCCATTCTGCTCAGCCTAGACTGTCATTTCACCGGAGGCGGAGGGAGGTTCTGTTGAGTTAAAAGGGCTGCTGAGTCATGGTAAGGCTGCCAGAAAAAGAAATCAAAAAGGAACACAAAACAGGCGACCCCAACACGTGTGCAGACAACAGACTACAAAAGCACAGCAAAGAAAACACGAAAGGTAAAACAACAGCAAAGCAACCAAGCTGATGGAAATGGGGATGTACAGATGGATGATGGGATATCTTGTTAAGGAGTTTGCACAGCAAGTCAAAATTCTTTGGGAACAATTCGTAAATCCGTCATCATGATGCAAAAAATCTTGCACACTGACCGGGATACAGGTTTTTTCCATAAGCAAAACAATGCAAATTATATGTACATAAAAGTTTACCATTAGTTAATTTACAAATACAGATTTCTTTGGTTGCAATAAATGCAGAAAATACTTTTGAACGTCCAACATTTAAAAAAACAAACATTTAAGATGAATCATAGCCTTGCATGGCCATTAAAGCTGCAGACTTGAGGAAAAAGATGAACCTCTCAGTCTTAAACATCCTTGAAGCGGCTGGAACGAGATCACTGTGCTTATGGTGTTGAAGCTGAATGGAGGGACAGTAATGAGCTTTTCACTATTCAAAATAAGAGTGGGCACACAAGCTCAACTGAGTATTTACTCAAAGAGACACAGGGAGGAAAAATGAAATGATGAAGCACCAGAATAAGTGTGAGGAAGCACCCAAAAAAGGTCCCCCCATGAATAATGAATACTGCTTTTATATCCTCCTCACTCGCCTCGGATACTCCTGTTTTTCCTCCTCTCACCATCTCTCCCTCCATCCTTCCTCTCCTACACTGTTTCAGTCCACTCATGCTATCTTAAGTCACATCAGGGTAAGGGAACGAAGAGGATGCAGTCATCCGGGGCTAACACAGACTCGTCACACTCCCCAGCATGTGACTGGGTCTACAACCATGACACAACTTTGCACAAAGTGCAACGATTACATACAGGCCTGTTACTTCATATAGATGTTCCTACCTGTGTATTTGCTAGAAATTAGCCAATTCTCAAGCAAATTATCCCTAAAAGTAAGTCTATAGTGAGCAGAACCAGAACTGATCCAACACACTGTGTGAGAACTGAGCAAGCTTGGAAAATTGTTCCTCACATCCTGCTGGAAGCAGCAGTCAAACAGGAAGACTGTTCATTAACACTGTAAATATATTGAGGTGTTATTATGAAGAGAGTGCAAATCGACCTCACCATGTGTGCTGTTGTGAATATCAAATGCCAGACAAATTTGTGAATTTATTATTTGCTCACAGTGGTGCAATATAAAAACAACTGGAGAGCCTTTATCTTTCCTGAATGTGAGGGAAACAAGAGATTAACCAAACAGGCATGCTGAGATAAACGTTCAGAATATTTTTTTCCCAAATTAGAATGCATTTGATTATATGAATTGGGGGCTGATACAGCATCAAATAAGCTCCAAGTTGCAGAAACACAGACTAATGCTCTGTTTTCAGGATCTCTTCTTTAAATGCTGAATTACAGTAAAAATGACTGTGTGTATGTGTGTATGTCCAGTTTCAGGTTGGTCATCAGCTGCTTCTGCTCTAAAGCACGAGCCATCCCATTCACCACCTGCTTGTGCAACCCCCCTCCACCCCACCAGGGGCGCTACAGCCACTACGAGGACTCACCAAGATCCTTAGAGCCTTGACTTTCGCTGGCCATCTCGCCCATCCGCACCAGAGCGTCGAAGTAGCCCTTTGCAGCATATGTGACACCTGGAAACATGGAAGCATTGGGCATCAGATCAAGGGTGCGGAGTTGAAATGATGTCTTCTTCAGCTCTGCAACCCTCCCCTACAGCCACCCCGAAGAGAGGTAAGGTTGGGCATGGGAAATAAAGAGCGACAGGCGGAAATGGAGACCAGGCAGGAAAAGAAAAAGCTCTATGGAGGCAACTACAGGAAACAGAGATAAAGCTATAGAGACTATTCTCAAGCACAAGGAGTAAAAAAAAGGAAACGCCGTCTTCAGCACAAACCACTTTGGAGTAAAAAGATTAATTTATCCAAATTACAAAAAAAAAAAAAAAAAAAAACGGTATCTAGCCATCAAAACAGTTTAAAGTTTAAAACATCTCTGAAACTTTTGCAATCACAAGGATTGAGTTCTGGTAGCCAGTAGCCGGTTTCATTTTGGGTCCAATTCCAGGTTGGTGAAATATGTCCCACCCCTTTTTGCTCTGTGCTCCAATAACATTGAGCGGTTACATCTGAGCGCTAATGTTACCAAAACGCTAACTAACTAACAAACTCATTTACATCAATCATTAATTAGCTGGTTAGTTAACATTTTGCTAACATTAGCTTACTTACGATGTGACTATCTTTTAACAGAATCTTCAAAATGTGGTTACAGGAAAGGTCTTGCTAAGCTCAGAGGGAGACAAATCTTGTATCAGATCTTTAATCTCTACTCCCTCTTGTTTTATCACAAAGTGCACCATGTTAGAGGAAGAAGCACCGCTCTGCAAGCAGGCGTTCAGACCAAAAATAGCATGTGTTAAAACAATGCAAGAGGCTGCGCTGGGGGGGGATTTTATAGTGAGTGAAATATGATATATAAATTCAGCTGTATTCTATAAGACAGAATTGTACAGCTATAATCTGGCTGATAGTGTCTCATTATTTTCAGCAGTTTAAATCTCCCACTAAATGTTTAATGTAAATCATCTCAATATTTTAAGATGATCAGTAATAGTTCTAACAGCTAAAAAAAAATGTGGATCCAATACTGGGAATGATGAGATCCAATAAAAAGCAATCAAACCCAACCCTAGCACTCACCCTGGAGGTGAATTGAGTTTAATATATATGTGAAGCACATGGCTAGATAAGCAGACAAATCAGTTTTTTTTTGTAATTTGGATGAACTGAATCTTTAAAATCCTTAACAACACGATCTTAACAACTCTCTACTTGAAAGTATGCTGACAAAAAAACTTTCCACAGCAATGGTGTCAAAGCACTCTGCAATTCAAATACTGTATGTCAGCCATTATTCTCTGCAGTGCACTGTCACACAAGCCAGGGACACTGGCTGAGACATAACGGTGACTCAGGCCTTAAAAAACAGGGACAAGATGGCCTCAAGCAGCAGTGACAGTGAATTAAAGCAGGTCAGGGGTTAGCCACACAGGGACTGACAGCCATGATGACAGAGGACACGTGTCCAGTCAGGAGATACATATGGATGAGGGCTGAGTTTATTACTGGGCCGTCATGTTGATGGGTGTTTGTGCTTTGAACTGCCAGAGGACACTCATGCAGAATCCCCAGGAGAGGGGAAACATGAGTATTTATATCTCCACACGGAAAACAATGTAAAGCTATTCTGAGTATAATTCTAGTTTTACTTTGTGACGTGGGTCCACAGAGACACTGAGGAAAGCTCACTGCTACTGTATGCAAGTTATTGTTGTGGGAATGAAGATGCCGTCTGGCTGCTCAGTCTGCAAACATACTTAACAATTTCTCAATAAGACAATTTTGAGGCAGCCTCAGAAATAACTTGGCCTGTTTTCAGTTCTTTATCAAAACCATGAACTGAGATAAAAGCCAGAAAATCACTACACAGCGGTGCAACCCTCCCGGGTAAGCCATGACAGACAGACAAGCCAAGACCCTTTTCTGGCTCTTCCTAAGCCTCGCTTGAGTTAAGCCTAGGTGGGATATAACTGTGTGAGAGAGCGAGGGGATCGAGGTGAAGCTAAGGCTGCTGGTTGAGCATCGCTAATTTAATCGATGTCCAGAGAAATTGCAGCCGGGGGGGGAGCAGGGCCAGTTGAGGCAGGTTTAGCTTTAGGGGATGCTTTGCTTGTCTGTTGGCTGAAAAGTGACAGAGTGAGGAAGGTGGGAGAGGAGAGCAAGGAGGAGGAGGGTCTGCCAGTAGAGAGGATTAGAACAGTGATATAAAGCTGATACAGAGCGGAGAGTATCAGTGTAAATGAAACACAAACAAGAAAGAAGTCTAGCTCAGCTGAGATTGGTGATCCATCTTCCTTCAGGTCTTCCACAACGTTAATCAAATCCCCTTCTCACATTCCCTCCCAGTAAGCATTGATTTGATGATTTGCAGGTCCAAAGACATCTAGACATCTACGTTAAACCTGGACTAAACATTTTTAGATGTCTATACATTACATGCAACTGTTTGACATTGTCAGTTAGTGTAGCTAGGAACTGTATCCCATTGAAATTAGTTCTGAAACCATTAATTGATAGTTTGAGACAACAATATTGATAACAGATTAATCATTTATCAAGCAAAAATGTTGTGGTTCCAGCTTCTCACATGTGAGGATTTCCTGTTTTTCTGTTTCATACCATTGTTTATTGAATATCTTTGGAAAGTGTAGAACAGAAACACAAACAAGCAACAAAACAGGCCATTTAAAAGATTTCACTTTGGGCTCAGGGAAATTGTGATTAGCAATATATAAACAAAACGATCAAATTGACTAGCTGAAGAAATAGCTGGCATATTATCCAGAAATAAATATAATTATTTGTACTCCTATGTGAAATAAATCATTTAATTTCAGTTGAAACAACAGTAATTTAGATCTCTGTGCCAAATGTAATCCAGCTTTCACCTGGACTACATGTCTTCTGACCTTCAAACTACCAAATCAGTACTTACTGGCTCACTTTCCTTTCACACATGTAGCCTCTCCCAAGTGAGATGTTCTCTCTGCCCCGCAAACCTACAATATTTTCCAGCCTCACAGCTCCTGTCTGCTACAGTGCCCACATAAAGATTTTAATAAAGACTAAATTCCAGCTAAGAACCACATCCAGAACCACATCCAGAACCACATCCACAACCAATCAAGCCCGAACACTTTTAGACTCAAACAAACAAACCAGACCAAGTCAGCTTCCTGCCTCCATCCTGCAGGTTTTCAAAGTCCCCAGAGACACAAACCTGCCGCCCCAGTTCTATTCATAAAAACCAGAGGCTGCACTGGCATTTTTACTGTGACAATAGATGCTCGCTGGGTGCCCAGCCCTGCTCCGCACTGCTCTACTCTAAACCCTGCCTCTGTGCCGCTGCCTGGCATTGATGAAGTGTAATCCCCACTCAGGGAGTCGCAGGGCTATTTTTAGCCTTATCTATCAGACTGGAGTGAGGCCTCCTTTATTGGTCTTGTGGGCTACTGAGTCTTCCCTGCATTTCCGACTCCAAACACATGAAGAAGAGCCCTCCTTAACACTGTGTACACAGCATACCAAGCACGACTGCACCATCACTGAAAATATATGATACGATCCCGATAACCTCCTCTCTGCACAGTGACATCAAAGAGTGGAGACGAAAAGAGGTTTTCTTATCAATAAATGAGCTCAACATGTACATGGCCACGCTAAGAGCATTTCCCGCCTAATCTGGAAGTATGAAATATCTTAATCTCTGCTGACTGCATGACTCTAATCATAGTCCATGAAACACTAGCTGATAAGCTGATGGATGTTCTTCAGGACAATGATGAAGGAAGGCTATGCCTATTGCTGTTTATGTCACATATTTCATTTTAAAGTCAGTTTCTTTTCCTCCATCTCCTTCTGTTTTAAATTCTTTTTTACCCGGTCTTGTCCTGGATACCGGCTCGGTCTGTTCTCGTTTCCTTGGCCCCGTGGGGGGGAGGCACCGTTATTCTCACGACTCCTCCTGTTCCACTTCTCATTGGCTTATGCTCCACTTAGCTCCCCAAGATATTTCCAGTGCTTTCGTCTTTAACCTTGAGCCACTGCTGCATTTACACCTCAATCTCTCCGTCTTTTCCTCTTTCACACACTCGACAGTGCAAACACACCTGTGCAAGCCACAAAAAGCAATGACAAAGGATGTACAGTGGAGGCGGACATTTAAGATCAGCGTTGGAGGGACAAAGACATGTGGACATGGACATCATCACAGAGGAACAATCAGAGGACATCAACCCAAGAGTGTCAACTCTGATAAGCAAATCTTTAACATTTGAAAAAGATCTTCAGTGAACAAACCATTATTTGGACAGAAGATATTCCGTCTCTGCAGAGGAACATTAAAGTTGTCACTTTTGCGACAGAGCAACAAACTAGCTTCTGTAGTTCAATGCCTAAAAAAGATTCTGGAGGGCATTTGCAGACGTCATCAACACTAGAAACTAATGAAAATCTATGTGTCGTCATCACACCACATCTCTGCTCGAGATAGATTAAGAGGATATAAAAGCAGCGCCAAGTGTCGGGTCAGTTGGCCCTCTGCCTGGACTACTGGACAGACAGGAGGAATGAAAAAGGGACGACGACAGAAAGAAAAGAGGAAACTACTAGTGTACTCACTGGTGAGCGCCTTCTCGTAGCTCTTTCCCATGGCTATGAAGTTCCGCAAGCAGGGGTTGAACTGCTCCATGATGGACTGGAAAGGGAAAAAAACAGCACGTTTGGTTAGTCAAGTAGCAGGAAAGGAGACAACGATACAAACACGAATATGAGCTACAACGACAGAGCACCACTCTTTACTGGGGCATGAACACACACACACACACACACACACACACAGTCGTACACACAGCAGAGTCAGCTGAGCCAACCAGGAGGAAGAGGAGTGCAGCAGGGATTCATTTCAAGCTCACGGCGAGGATTGAAGGGATGAAATAGAGGGAAAAAGAAAGAGAGAGAACAAGTCACAGGGAGGGGGGGACTGTTTCTTCTCACCTCCCCTGCTGTCTCCATTAAAATAAAACCTGGTTTTGGCTGCTGACTCCCATAGCTCAGCAGCAGACCTGGACTCATCACTGTTTCCCTCCATTTCCCTAACACTCTCTGAACTCTGGCACACTGCTCCTGCTAATTGCTTTTTTCTAAAGGGTCACTTCACCAAAATGATATATAAAACACATTTTCTCACTTGTCTGGTGGAATCTATCCATCAATCTGTATGGCTACATTCAGCTATAGTCTTTTTATAACTGACACCATGTCATCATTTGGCACCATGGCAACACCCCAGTCAGGTCAGAATATGCAAGTGAAGTCAGCTGCACTGAACAAGGTTATATCATCAAGACTAGAGGTTTCAGATCGAGATGGATCAAGAAACTGCAGAATTTCAAACGAGGTCTGTGACAAGCACACCTCAGAAAGTTCTTCAGTAATAGAAAATATGAGAAAATACAAAATACAGAAATAATCAAACTATACATTCCATTGCAAGTCAGATTTGCAACCAAAATTATTTGATCAACTTAAAAAAATCAGACTTTTTATTAAATTAATAAATTTTTTAATAATTATTTTGGCCACTTGGGGGAAGTGGAACAATCTGTAAACACACATTGACACATTATAAAACTGTTATGGGAAACAATTGCCTATTTACACATTTAGCAGACACGGAGCAACAACATACCTTCACATGGCTGTGTTTTTGTCTTCCCCAGTTTGTGAGAAACATATGTGGCTCTAAAGCTGCAATAGGTAATTCTGTCAGAAACAACTGTCTGCTGCTGCCAGGCTGATGAAGCTGAGGGAGTGAACCAGAACACTGACATTGCGGGCCATGACCAAAACATTGAGCTGAATACGCTAAGCACTCTTAGCAGCACGTAGAGCTGAGGCGAACTGCAAGGTCACGCAATAATTCTCATCACTACTAGTTCGTTATTACAAGCATTGTTTCACTCTTTTCAATGTTAATATAAAAATATTGGTGAGAGTGGTGTTAATATTCACACCAAAAACACCTAAAACTTTGGAAAAGATTTTTTTCTTGTTGCACTACAAATCCTGCACCAAAATCTATGAAACACTGATCAGAACAGACCGTTCTGAATGCTCTCAAGTCATCAAATCCTGTAAGTTTCAGCTACAGCACTGTAAATATTTTACAGTGAAAACTGTGAGAATAAAATGAATAAGTCAAGCACCAGGAACATCAAAGAGGACTAAGACAGATCTGAGGGTAGTTTTGGTGATCAGTGCAGATTTAACAGTCAGCAATATGAGATATGACATTGATTCTTGCATTATGTTCTAGGTGATCAAAGGACACAACCAGAACTGAATTATTCAGGACAGATACACATAAAAAGGCACATATTTAAAGAAATATATGATCTAAATCTCATGAAAGATGACAAAGTATCTGTCAGAAAACAAGCCCTCATTAACAAGTGAATGAAAGTCAAGAAGAAATGTATAATGAGTTTTACTGCCTCTGTCAGGCTCCGCAGTGACTCAGCCTCCCCCTCAGTCCAAGCTGCCCTTTCACTCCTGCTGTATCTTCGGCAAAACCCAGCAATTTAAAAAAACAGCAATTCTTTCTCTCTTTGACTTTCTTTTCGAACTTTGAAATGGCAGAATTGTCAAATGAGCAGCAAAGGACGGAAGGAGTGAGAAGGTAAAGGGAGTGAGGGATGAGTGTGAGACGCAGGAAGACTCAAGGCAGAAGAGCAGGTGAGGGCTTTAACAGTGCAGTGACCGACATGAAGCCGTTGAATTATCAAGATCTGGCCACATCAGTATTTTGTCACAAAAACCTCTGTGGCAAAATAATTTAATTCCAATGGAATTGCAGGCATGGGTAGATTCTTACTCACTTTGAGTTTGTTAATAGCAAGATGTCGGACCTTTGAGGGAATGAAGAGCCAAAGCATCCAAAATGGAGGAAGCTATTGTAGCTTATTAGCAGCATCATCCACTTTCCTTTAACTCCCTCTGTCCAAGCCACTTTCACGCCAAAACGTGTAATAGACTCGCCTGTCCACTGTCGTTCCACCATGTCAGCACCACGTTTGCCTCATCTAGGCGTCTAAACACATACATGTTCCACGGTCAAGTTAGCAATACAAAATATGCAACATCCTGTTTAGACTTCCACAATAAAACATGACAGTTGCTGTTTGGTTAGGTTTGGGCAACAAATTACTTTGAAAAAAAAATCAGTTTGGGTTCAAATAAGTATGTGAGTTACCTAAGTTAAGTACGTTCATTCAGTAAGTTATGCAAGTTCACTTTTGTAAGTACATAGGAGTGTATGGTATCAAATTTTTTTAATATATCTTTTGAATAAAGTGGCGGTTAGAAACTGAGCTAACAAGCTATTCTGAATGACTAATGCATGTTCCTGGCTGTCTTGCTCGCCAGAGTTATTAACCAACGACCACTGCAAGCAGTCTCAGTCACAAGCATCAAGAACCACATATTTTCCAAAGATGTACCGATGAATTTCACGGTGCCATTTTCCTGTATGACTCGACCTCTATTCAGTACTAGTTTAGTTGAAAGGCAGCAAGGTGTTTTGAGGTGGAGAAAAGCCAAAATATTTTATAGCCCTGGAGGAGGAGGAGAAAAGTAAGAAGACAAAAGGGGACAGAGAGAACAGAAGAATGAGCATAAGGCAAGGGGAGAGGAGGGTACATTTGAGGTTGACAGACACATCTTTGTCGTGGCTGGTCGCTACGAGGGATGCCTGCTAATACCCGCCGGCTGACGCACAACAGTCACCTTGGTACCCAAACTTCACCATGACTTCAAAAAAGGGAAGAAGTAGGGCAGGACGACACAGGGGTGCAAGAAAAACAGGCTGACTGCCCAGTGAATGAAGAGAGAGAACAGCTTCAAGGTGCTCAAATGAAGTGAAAAAAAGCTTAAGTAAGGAAGTGAGGAGGAGTGGGACATGGACTGAAATGGGATAAAATGAATACATCTTAAGCAGAAATGGATTTTGATTTATGCAAGGTTCAAGTTGATTTGAGGCATTTCTGGTTAGAAAACTGTTTGTACTTCTGATTAAAAGCTTCCTGCTGTGGATTCCTGGGGAAGATTTTTCTAAACTTGCTCCACTGCCATAATGTCTGATGTCATAATCACACAAACATGAGGAAGAAAAAAGAGGTTAGTGGTGCTTCTTTGTGCATTTCTGAGGACAAACCAACCTATTTATACCCTGATTCCCTCTTGCCCCCTCGCTCCCATCTCTGGGTGTGTTTTCTGTTACGTAAGGTGGCGGCTGCTGAACAAACCTAGTAAGTGGAAGTGCTCCAGCAGCAGTAATCATTGCCGTGGCTGTACCACCACTTGGCAGGAAGAAAAGACAATCAACAAAAGAATAAATATAGAAGATGGAGAGCAGCCCAGCTCTCATGTCTAAATCAACAGATTTACAGAGAGAGGACTGGGAAGTGTGTGTGTGTGTGTGTGTGTGTGTGTGTGTGTGTGTGTGTGTGTGTGTGCGCACTTGTTTGTGAATGCTTACATGCCTGTGAGTGAGCGAGTGAGTGATGAGGTTTGTTATGTAATCACTGTCAGACAGGTTTGGCCTCATATGTCGCATTTCTTTCACTGAGTTAGTACGGTTGTCAAAATACTGTCAAGGTTTCAGATGTAGTTACTGACATGTGAACACACACACACACACACACACACACACACACACACACACACAACAAATAAGATTAGATAAATGTTTTCAACTTGACTCTTTTTAAATTCATCAAAATAAGCCAATTTTTTTTTTTTACATTCAAAGCATGGTGACATCTCGTTAAACATGGCTATGGAAAATACTATGTGTAATGCCCTTCACCCAAATGGAATCATAACTAAATGGAGGAAAAGTAGAGGTTCTTTGGTTATTTTCATATATTTGGGGATCCTACTGTGTATTAGCAATTATTTACACTCTCAGATGGCTATTCTAAGTGTCTGATGGCATTATGGAAAGGATCCCTACAGAGATAGACATTTTCAGACAGCCCTTTCCGACAGGTAACTGAAGCTGTTATATTGCTCCCTTCAAAGACACCAGACTCCTTTGACAAAAAAAGCAATTTTACATCGCAGAACATGGGAGTTTCCAGTCTACCGCCGCCTCAATCGGTGAGTTCCTGTGTGTTACTGTGTGACTTTGGTTTTTTAACATCCCTTTAAATCTATCTTTTTAATCCAGTCAGTGGCAAAAACAAGCACTTTTAGTGGACACGCTTTGACAGGAGGTTACGTTGCAGCTCATTTCACCGCTGCCAGTTGAGGTGACCTACTGGACCAGTTTCAAAACTTTTTGTACCCATTAGTTATTTAAACACAAAAAAAAAAGAAGAAAGAAAAAAAATAGGGCCCAGGTTTAGAAATACTTGAGTTAAACTGTGAAGATCAATACCACTCTCAGGTCTGTATGTTAAATATGAAGCTCAAGCCAGTAGGAGATTACTTTATATTAGTTTAGCTTAGCATTAAGACTGGAAACGGGGAAACAAAGTGCAATGTGTTTCAGCCACAAATGTCTGCACAGAGTAATACCATATTATAACTGTGAATAACGTCCACAGTAGAACTTTCTTCGCAGAAACAGACTGCACCTGTCAATCACCATCAGTGCTCCCCTGCACATGCTAATGATGAACTCATTTTCGCGCC